GTCCTGATGGCCCTCCCCACGTCCTGATGGCCCTCCCCACGTCCTGATGGCTCTCCCCACGTCCTGACGGCTCTCCCCATGTCCTGACGGCTCTCCCCACGTCCTGATGGCCCTCCCCACGTCCTGATGGCTCTCCCCACGTCCTGATGGCTCTCCCTATGTCCTGATGGCTCTCCCTATGTCCTGATGGCCCTCCCCATGTCCTGATGGCCCTCCCCCAGGTCTGGCCCCTGCTCAGACTCCCTGCTGCCTTTGGCCCGCCTCTCTCTGCTCATTGCTTGCCCACTTCACCTTGCTCACCCTTGCTGCTCCTTCCCCCTGCTCCCCTCTTTTCTCCCTCACTTCCCACTCCTACGAGCAACCCCTCCATCAGTGCGCCAGTCCTCACCTCCATGGGCCCAGTGTTTACGTGTACATTCTCTGTCCTGCTTGCCTTCTTCACTCATCTTCTCAGGCATTCATGAAATGAAAGATTTGTTCACAGCTGCTCCATCTCAGTCACAAACACGATCCCTGCCATCATCACATGTAACGTCTAACAACAAACGCACATGCAGGAGACCAGCCCAGGGCAGGATGCTTTGTGCCGTCAGTGTAGTACATCAGTGAGGACACCCTGGTGTCCCTGAAAGGACCCTAGTGGACTAGAGAAATGAGGGTGGTTGCTGCTAGAAATGAGAGAAGCCTTCCTAGAGGGGGAGATCTGTGTCCCTAGCGGAGTTCTGTACACAGTGCCCTAGGAAGAAAGCATTTGAGGTCTAGCAGACAGGCTCTGCACAAATCCAAACCATGCAGAAGCACAGTGGCTTAGTCAGGGACAGGGCAGGTCCTGTTTGCTTTGCTTGACTCTGTTCTGCTTTTGTAGTGCTGGAGATGAAACCCAGGGGCTGTGCTTGCTTGGCTCTATCCTAGCCCTGTACAACTTTTTATTTATTCTTTTTGTTTGGTTTGCTTTGTTTTGAGACAGGAGCTGACCGTGTAACTCTGACTGCCTGGAATTTGCTATGTAGACCAGGCTGGCTTCAAACTCAAATAGATCTACCTGCCTCTTTGTCTCTAGTGCTAAGATTAAAGGTGTGTGCCACCACAACCAGCTTATTTATTCTTATGAATGTGTGTGTGTGTGTGTGTGTGTGTGTGAGAGAGAGAGAGAGAGAGAGAGAGAGAGAGAGAGAGAGAGAGATGTGTAGGTTTACATCCCCACGGTGTGTGAGTGCGTGTAGGTCAGAGGACAACTTTTGGAAGTCAGCTCTCTGCTCTCTCCTTTATGTGGTCTCCAGGGGTTGAACTCGGGTTGCCAGACTTGCGGGGCAATCGCTTTACCCACTGAGCCCTTTGGCCGGCCCCTCAGCACACTTTTTACTTTTTATTTTGAGGCCCGATCCCATTTCATTGCTTAAGATGACCTTGAAGTCTTTTGTATCCCAGGGAGTCCCTGAGCTTGCAGCCCTCCTGCCTCAGCCTCCAAAGTAGCCGGGCTTACAGGCCTGCACCGCACAGCCATCTGTGGCATCCATCTCCTGTGAGCTCTTCAGGGCAGGGACAGAGCTCTCAACCTCAAGGCCCTCGTGCCTTCCACAGAAAGATGCAGAGCGGTGACAGAAGAGTCCAGAAAGAAGCCACAAGTTATTGGCACTTAGAGCACCTGCCCTGTTTTAATTCAGAACATCCCTTTGAGATAATGAACAAATGAGGCACAGGCAGGTTGTTAGCAGTGAACTAAGGTCACACAGCCACTGATGGAGTTCTGGGATTCAAGGTGTATCATCTGCTGCAGGGCTGTTCCTTGAACATAGCAACACCACCAGGAAAAATCAAGTGTCCATGGGAACAGAGGATCCCTGAGACAGAAATGCTGTATGACTGTTACTGTGTCTGTTTGCTAGCAAAGGATTACATAAGAACAGCAGAGTATGGGGTTGGGGATTTAGCTCAGTGGTTGAGTGCTTGCCTAGCAAGTGCAAGGCCCTGGGTTCGGTCCTCAGCTCTGGAAAAAGGGAAATGAAAAAAAAGAACAGCAGAGTAGAGAGGAGAGGAGTGTGGGCCCTGGGATTGTGCCCCATTCCAGAGCAGAGTCTGCTCAAGCTGGCTTCAGCTTGCCTCTATCCTCCTGCTTCTGTCTCCTGAATGGTTAGATTACTAGCATGTATGAGGTCCTGAGTTCAGTTCCCAGCACAGTTAAAGAAAGGAAGGACAAAGGGATTTCCAAAGGGTAGTGTACAATCCTAGATTAGAGGCAACTGAGGTGCTGGCTTTGATGTTCGCCCGTACTTCCACTTGAACACTGACTGGCCATTTTGGATCCATTAAGCATCTGATGGCGGCTGGTGGCCCACTCAGTGTGAATTCTGCTCTAGCCTTGGTAATAGTGTTCTGTAAAGCCTGCCCCCCCCCCGCCCCCCCCCGCCCCAGGGTGGCGTTGAACTTGTGGTTCTCCTCCCTCAGCCTCACCATTCTGGGATCACAGGCACGGACTTGTGTGTCCAGCTTTGTGTTTCTTTGAATAACAGCCTTTCACTTTTCCCGCTCTCTAGCTCTCTTTTCCCCAACAGTCTTCCTGTAATTACAGACACTGTTATACAGAAGCCCTGCGGGAGGGAGCTCATCTTAGTTTGTTGATGTATCAAAGTCCAGATTTGACAAAAGGCGCTTAGGATTCTAGCCTGTTCTTTTACAGTACATTATTGAATACATGGGTGTAAAAATTATTTTGGAGCTGGGCTTCAGTTGAAGCATATACTTATGACCTCTGTTCTTAGGGGTGCTGAGGCGGAAGGAGCTTGAGCTGAGGGCAGTTCTGTCTCAGGACTGGGGATACAGTCACCGGTAGAGTGTTTGCCTAGTATGAGTGTGAGTGTACCACACAACAAGGAAGACAAGGCTGTGTGTGGTAGCTCACTCTTGTAATTCTAAAACTCAGGAGGCTGACCTCTACAAGTCGGATGCCAGCGTGGGCTACCGAAATGAGACCCTATTTTGGGCAGACAAAATGAGACTGCCTCTGAGAAGACGATTTCGAGGGAAGAAAGGGAAAAGCTGTGGCTACATTTCAGATTCTCAGCTGGGCTGGGCTGGGGTTCAGAATGACCCTAGTAAGCGAGCGCGTCTATACCCCCCACACCTGGGGGACTGGGGAGAGGAGCGGGCGTCAAGCCCAGCCTTGGGTACATAATGAGTTCCAGGACAGACCTTCTCTCAACCCCTTCCTTCCTTCCCGGAAAAAGTAAAAATATATTGCAAAACCACTCAAACCCCTGATTTCCTAGGCAGTGTGTCTTTTCTTAGCTGATAACTAACTTGTCAGTATAATCCAGTTGTAACTAGTATGCACTAAATACACTAAGTCCTGTAAGGAGGGGAAGGAAGGTGGAGTCACACAGCTCAGAAGTAAAGACAAGGGATGAAGACACCTGCCACACCTGCCTGAGTTCAGTGCCAGCCCCTGTCCAAGTGGAAGTGGAGAAGTAACTCCACAAAGCTCTTCTCTGACCTCACACATCATCTGTGCGCACACACACACACACACACACACACACACACACACACATTAAAAAACGTAAAAGAAAGAAGCAGAAGGGGGCCATTGGAGAAGAGGAAGGGAACCAGCCAGAGGAGGAAAGGATGTAGGGAAGAGAATAAATAAGAACAATATAACAAATGTACAGATGAAAACTGAAAAGGCCATAATTAAAGCCCTTACTCTGTAAGCTAACCTAAAACTTAGTTAAATTTTGGGTTTTCTTGTTTTAAATGAATGGTCATTCCCATTACGAAACCTCACACTAGGGGCTCAGCAGGTAAAGGTGCTTCCCCCAAGTCTGATGGCCTGAGTTCAAGCCCCAGCACCCATGTGGTGGAAGGAGAGAGAGGCCTGACTCCTACAGAACCTGACGCTGAGGAAATTGTTCATTGATTGAAGAATTTAGATCCTCAAGGGTGGAGGCTCTGTGTCCTGTTATCCATGTGTCCTTGTCTAGGCCTGGGCTCATAATAGGTACTCAGTTCGGTTGCAGTTAGAGCTGCAGACTTTATGGGAAATCATGCCCTTCACCTAATACAGCCAAACTTACTACAGGTGTATTTGGTTCCTTCCAGGCAAACAGTGGTCCGAGTACAAACGGCTGCCAGTTCTTTATCACATGTTCTAAGTGTGATTGGCTGGATGGGAAGCACGTAGTGTTTGGTAAGTCTTACTCCCGGGCCCGCCACATTCTCCACACTCACTAAGTATGCTCAGCTGCTGTAGGCTAGGGCAGACGGACATGTGGGGATGGCTAGGACAGACGGACATGTGGGGATGGCTAGGACAGATGGACATGTGGGGATGGCTAGGGTAGTTGATGGACATGTGGGGACGGCTAGGACAGACAGACATGTGGGGACGGCTAGAACTCACGGAAAAGACAAGGGCATTCCAATAACTGTACATGAAATCAATAAAGAAATGCCCTGAGGCCACATGGAGGAGTGTGGCTTTGGGGTCACTCAAACCCAAGCCTGTACCCTAGTTCCCTGCATGTATTCCTTGTGACTTTGGGCAAGGCAGCTCACCTCACTGAACCTCAGTTTCCTTACATTGTAAGAGGGCCTGGTGAGATGCCAGCTGAGAGTGGGAGCTGGGAGCACCAGGAAGGAAGCCTTAACTTCATGTTCCTCCTGCAGGAAAAATCATTGATGGACTTCTGGTGATGAGAAAAATCGAGGTTGGTCCTGCTTGGGGATCCTCGTAGCCTTTCTGGTCAGGTATCTTCTGCCTGTTAGTGAGGAGCAGGGTAAATGGGCTGCAGTTCACCAGAGAGACTGGTCACTGTCTGCGGTTACTGGCTCCTTTGGGAGAGAGGAGAGGCCAGGCTTCCTTGGCCCCATTCATTAGCCTGTCCAGTGCATACTTGGGTTTGGCCTCTGAGCCTGATGCCCACTTGATAAAATGCCACTTCCTGGCATTGCATGCAGCATCCTTTGTGACCTGTCCCCTGCCTACCCCTCCATGACCCCTCCTGCCACTGCCTCTCTGGTCCAGTGGCAGCCAGCCCCTGGCTCCTCCCTAAAGAGGTTGGCCATACAGGTGTGGGCCTCCCGCGCTTCCCTGCCCCAGGTGTTGGCTCCAGTCCTTCTCTACCTGAAGAAAGAATCCCTTCTTTGGGGTCTCACCTTCCCTTCCTGGCCTGGTTCAGATGCCCCTCTTCGGTGACTTCTCCATAAGCGGGGTCCCTGGTCAGTGCTCTCCTGACTCGCCACATTGTTGCATTGTGGGGCTGCGGCCTTTCCTGTTAAGTTTCCATCTGTCAGGACACACTCCACATCGGTCTGATCTCGGGCCCTTCCTTAGAGGATAGAAACAAGGCAGCGAGCAGGTGCCTGAGAGCGTCTCACGTTCTTGTGCTTCATTTTCTAGAACGTTCCCACGGGCCCTAACAATAAGCCCAAACTGCCAGTGGTGATCTCACAGTGTGGGGAAATGTAATCTCAACCAAGACTGAACCGGGTAAGTGATCTCTTCTCCCTGGTTAGGAAAAGGAATCATGGCTTGAGGGAGTCTTTCCACTCACAGATGTGGATTGAGTCCATTTCCTCTGCATGTGAGCCTGGAGCATGCACTCCTCAGGGCATGTTTCCTTAGCTCTCAGGAGAGGATGTCAACCTGAGGGTCATTGTGAGGAGCAAAAGGGAGGACACTGGGAATACTCTTTTTTTTTCTGCTGATTCATTACAGTGTCCCCTTGAAAGGACTTGACTCCCAGGTGACTGCACTGGGACCAGCCTGGTGTCCAGTCCTGGAGTCTGGGCCTCACCAACACCTTTCACAGGCTTCCTTCCTCTGGATACTTGCCCCTGGCTGCTCTGCCCTAGGGCCTTCTGAAAAAGAACTGAGAGGCACTCCCAGGAGAGAATTCAGCCCTGAGGTGAATGCTAGTCTGGGTGACTTCCGGGTTACCGCACACTAGGGAGAAATGGTCAGTCCACCTCTGCAAGAGGTCGTGGCGTTTCGTTTGCCTTTACAATTTTTTTCAAACCCACAGAAAATCTGGAAAACTGTTGACTAATCACCCAAAGCCTCACAGCCCGGGTCCCCAGTGGTGGACATTTGTGGCTGTCCTCTTCTTCCCCGTCTGTTTCTCTCCTTTCTTTCCTGCCCACGCTGCCTCTCATTCTCATTCTAAAACTGCAGACCTCTTGACACTTCACCCCTGAGCATGTGAGCAAGGAGCCCCTAAAAATAAGACTGATTCATAAGACTAAATAAACAGAACGATACTTGTAATACGTGGTGCATTTTCAAAATTACCAGTTGTCTCCAAAGTAACTGACATCATACAGAAGTGTATTTTTTTTTTTTTTTTTGTAGTGCTGGGGATTGAACCAAGCTTTGTGCATTCAAGGCAAGTACACTACCACTGACCTGCACCTCGGTGCCACTTTTATAG